AGATAACTTTGTAATTTACTTATATTTGCTGCAAAGGTAATCAGAAGCGTCTTATTTCTATTTTTATCTTTCTTTCTGCACTTTTATCTATGTTCTTTTCTTCCTTCTTTTTTTTCTTTTTTTTCTTTATACTGTATTTGTGTTAGTTTTTATGTTGTCTTTAAAACTTTTAATAATAATAATAATAATAATAATAATAATAATATATAACACACACATACATAAAGGAGCTAAAATAGAGTAAAGGAACATTTTGCACTAGGTACCTAATTATTTGGATGTGTGTTATTTTTTTTTAGCTTGGATTCAGGGTGACAAGCACTGCTTCAGCTCCAGTGAGCTGTCACTTATTATTTTATAGTTATTTCAGTTAAAATTAATGATAATATTACAGCACACGTTGTGCTCTGAAAACGCAACTATGTTAAAAAGAAGCTGTTTGCTCCTTACGCACTAACGATTCAAAGCAGTGATAATATGAAGGTTCACTGACTTGTTCATCAAGCAAGGAATCTTCCTTAGGCTTTCACTGAGTGATCAGCACTTTACATTGGCCTGGAAGCATCCTGGCAACCGATGCAGGGACTTCAGGACTGGCGCTATTCTGTGCTGGCAGGATATGCCCATCAGGAGTCTGGCTGCTGCACTGTGCACCAGCGGTATCTTCTGGGTCATCTCCGAAGGCAGTCCCGCATGGACAGCATGACAGTAGTCCAAGTGGGTTGTGATCAGGGCACGAGTTACTGTCACCAGGTAACTGTTCAGTGCCCATACATTGTTGTTAAAATATTAATTGACTTAATAATTACTATCTTATTTGTTTCACTTGTTATTTCGTTTTCTATGCCGCTTCTCTCCAACACCGCTCAGGTACTATTTACCCAATGGAAATAAAGTGTGACTTTGGCCAGGTGTATGTGTATATGACACTTTTATTGGGAAGTGGGAAAGAATCTAAAGAATCAGTGCTGGCTGGCTTTAGGCAACCTGAGGCTGATCTGGTGGGGAACGGGGGCCTTTCTGTCACACAGAAGACACGCACTATCTTCCCTCCTAATAGAAACAGCAAAGAAGAAAAGGGAAACCGGGTGGAGATGGAGCAACAGGAAAGGACAGCTGCATTGGGAAGGGAAGAAAAGGGAAAGGCGGGAATGAAACTGGATGGTGAAGGGGCAAAGGGAAAAGGTAAGTAGGGAGCAAGAGAGAAAGAGGGGTTGTATTTAGGCAATACCAAATGTACATTCTGCCTTGCAAACAGCTGCTAATCTGCAAATATTTGTGCTTTTTATCAGTTCTAGGCAGTGACAATACTGTAGTGATAGTGGAGTCTTTGGATTTGATGGACAATAAAAGAAAATAAATATTTGCAGCCATTTGCACCTCTGCACATTTACACAGCACTTTTTAGATTAAAGCCATTCTCCCCAGCCCAAATTATAGTTAATTATTTTGAAGGGGGGAAAGGTGCCTTTCTATCGAGAAGGTATGGTTGATATTCTAGTGCCCTCTCTTCCTCTGAGAGGATGATCATAATAGGAAAGAAGAAGGGGAGAGATGTAGTGGAATGATTAAAGTAGGACTGAGGAGATCTGACCCAGATCCACTCAGCCATGGCCAATGGTTGCTCATCAACTTCTCAGCCTGATCTAATGCAGAGAAAGCTGAAAAGGAGGAAGAAACTATGTATGCAGTCTTAGAATCTAGAGAAAAGTTCTGCTTGTACCTGAAAAAACACATGTAAAGTAATTCTGTGTGTATCTAGCTTTAGTCAGCGTCAGCGTTCAGGAATAAAGGCTAAACTAGTTTCAAGCAAGCTGCGAAAGCCGAAAAGAATGGCAAACTGCCACGTGCAGCGCCTCACTTGGATGTGTCTGGAGTCTTGGAAGCTTGACTACCCTACGTTCTCCTACAAATGGACCTTGAGCTTGTTTGGAGGTTCTAGCAGGGGAGCGCAGCTATCGTATACCCTTGACCGAAGATCGGT